CTTAGACTATCTTCATCTTCCCTTCATCTTTCTCTGCTCCCGGGCATCCCTTCATGTATCTTTCTGCTTCAGAGTGATTTTCTTTCTTTTTTTTTATTAAATTATAAAAGTTTCCATTTCAGCCCCTCCTCCCACCACCCTCCCACTCCCCCCACTCCCTCTCCACCTCCCTCTCCATCCCCTAGAGCAGTCAGGGTTTCCTGCCCTGTGGGAAGTTCGAGTTCCTCCCCCCTCCCTCCAGGTCCAGGGAAGGTGAGAGTCCAAACAGACTGGAGCACCAAAATCCAGTATATGCAGAGGAAGCAAGTCCCAGTGTCATTGTCAACGGCTTTTCAAAAAGGCTCCGGGCCAGCCACATTCAGAGAATCTGGTTGGATCATGTCCTCGTTCAGTCCCAGTCCAACCGGCCTTGGTGAACTCTCATTATATCAGTCCCCTTGTATCAGTGGGTGCTCGCATCCCTCGCAGTCCTGATTACTTTTTTTATTTTCTTCATCATTCTGTTCCTCATTTGGACTGTGGAGTGCTCAGTTCGGTGTTCCAATATGGGTCTCCATCTGTATCGCCATCCAACGTCGGATGAAGGTTTCCTGTGCCCTTGCCTTCCTTGCTCACGATCAGAGTGATTTTCAAGATGGGGGAGAGGCCATTCTGGTCTTTTAGATTCTCTCTCTAATCCCACATCTCGGTCATCTAACAAGGCATGTTCATTGTTATAGCACAGTCCTTATAACTTGTGCTTCGGAAGAAGAGCTGTGTGCAAGATCTTTAATATCTTTGGTGATTCTATATTGCAAGGAAATCAGTTTCAGGCTAGCTGTCTGTGTGGACAACACACCTGTAAGGGTCCAATTTAAACTCAGATTGCTATACTCCAAAATTTGTCTGAGTGGAGCACAATCCTGGAAAACTTTTCTTTATTCAGATCTCTCTCTCTCTCTCTCTCTCCTTCTCTCTCCCTCCCTTCCTCCCTCCCTTAATCCCTCCCCTCCCTCCCTTAATCCCTCCCCTCCCTCCCTCTCACAATTGTTTCTTGTATAGTAGGTTGGCTTTGAATTCACTGTGTATCCAGGGAAGACCTTTAATTTCTGATCTGGTTACTAGAATCATAGGTGAACATCAGCATGCCAGTTTACATGGTGATGGATATAGAACCCAGGCATTTGTGCATGTGTGTAAGCACTCCCAACTGAGCTGCATCCCCAGGCCTACTTTCCTACAGGCATCCCGTCATACTCATTGTTGTTCTGCCACAATTCAGATACTGTAGTTAGCTCTGGAACCATGAAGATTTTATTAGGTTTATCCTGGTATCATTATGTGGTGCAGTTGGCAGTGCTTATTGACAAATGTTATTTTCTGTTCTGTGATTTTTATAGTCTGAGTTTATTAAGCGCTCCTGGAATTCAGCCTTCTGGAATTAATTAAAAAGGCACACTTCTTAGGTTTAGGAATGTGCAGAGAAGTTTCACATCATCTACGTGCTTTGAGTTTTAGTTCCTGCTGAAAGCGTTAAGTTAGCTTCCAGTAGCCTAGAATAACTGCTCTTGTCATTGCCATCTTTACAAGATTGGACAGACTGGGTTCCTACTGTCTCCACACAGCATTTGTACATCCTGGCTTTTGGTGCTGTGTTTTCCATTCTCAGTGCAACTCTCCGTTTTTATCCAAAAATTTCTCTATATAGCTGTTCTTTGTAATCTGGGTTGAGCAAGGGCCATATTCCACACAGTATCCCTATGAATATAGGAAAAAATGAAAAAAAGTTTGCTCTCCTTATATTGAATTCATCTTATAAAGCTTTTTTATTACCAACTTTTAAACAATTGAAAATGGACTATAGAATGATTTTAAAATTTTTATTGCATTTTAAAAGGACAATAAAAGGTTGCAGAAAGTGTTCTGTAGTAGAAATTTTAGTCCTCTAAGTTGAGCTGGGTTGTATGTCTTGATTCAGATTGTAGGCAGTCTGTCTTCATAACAAAAGTTCCAGATGGACTCGTGCCTTGAGCCTTCTTTGTTTCCAATCCCTCCGATCTCTCATGTATTTTTTTTTGTTTGTTCCTTTTTTTTCTGATATGTCATAGGTTAGGTTTCAAACACCATTACATACTGCTAGATCTCTGGGTGTTATAGACTCGCAGCTCTTGAAATTGTTGGCTAATTCCCTGCTTACATATTCTTTCCCCTCACTAAACTTCTAAGCCCCACTAGGCCATAAATCACATGGTCCCTTCTGTGTGAATTAGGGACGTTAGTAACTAACTCAGAGTTGCCAATAATGCATAGGTGTTACATTATGGAAGGAAATGTAAGTACTTCCCTTTGGAGTTATTTAACCTGATTTGAATGTTTTACTTCGTGCTTCCTGCCTGTGTCTTCTGTCTGTCTGTCTGTCTATCTCTTATATGAAACTAAATCTGTGCATGCCTGAAGACTGTCGAGTGAATCTGTCCCTGTATCTGTATCTGTCTGTCCTTTTGTGTCTGTCTGCTGCAAGACTATGTGTGGCTATGTGTGTCTGTTCCAAATAAAAGGCTTTGCTCTGTCTTTATTGAACTTCATTGAAATCATCGTGTGTGGAAGGAATAAGGTACTTTACAAAATACTTTTAGGCAGACTTTTATAAGAGATTGACTCACTAGATGCAACTGATCTCAACTGACCCAGACAACAAACGGCACTATAAATATCATTATTTATCAATCATTACCCATAAATGTTATATTCAATACTTGTGACAGTTGTTCATTTTAGAAGATTGCTTTCAACCTCTGTATTTGTTATTTTTAGCAAGTAATATCTATGCATATTTTTCTGGGCAGGGACATCGAGGAATACATGACTTCAGATAAAAGCTATGCATTAACTTCGTTTCTAAAAGCTTATTATATGGAGAATTCAAGACAAGTAAGGCTGGTAGTTGCATTTTTTTCTTCAGACTGTTGCTCACTTGCCCATCTGCGTCCTGAGTTTCCGTGTTCCTACAAACAGCTTACGTCAGACTCATGCTGCAGAGATAACCACCACACTTGAGTGGCAAGGTATTAGAAAACATTAGGACCGTTGGCAAGTTAAGCTAAGTATGACACGAAGATATATATATCTTATTCCAAAGCTTTATTGATCTTTTTTATCCTTCAAATTACAGAATAAATGTATACTGTTTTTGACACTTAGATAACATTTGCAGTACTCCTTTTTCAATTTCAAACTGTAAGTCTAAAGCTAGCTAAGGAAATAGTTTCAAGCGTAGTCTATCTGCTTTGGGTACAAGTTGTTCCAATCTCCCTCTTGGTGAGAATTGAGGATCTTGCAGTCAGCCATGTCCTGTCATGTTAGCTTATTTTGTAAGGAAATCAAATCTGGCACCTTTCAATTAACTTCTTTCACTCTCCATCTCAAAGCAGATGGCACACATTGCAGAGCAAGAAGGCATGAGTGCTATCCTTGGATTTCCTTGACTGCCTTTAATTGTGGCTTCTGTCTTTCCAACCCTTGCTAAAAGTCATCCTGTACAGGCAAGAAAGTTCTCTCTCACTGAAAGGTGATCCTGTTGAAACAAAATGTATTCTCAGTTTGAAGTTGTCAACACTTAGGGCGATCACAACGGACTATTTCTGTTATACCTAAAAGCCTCAATGGAGGGGTTACGTGTAAATGTGCCATGAATTGTTGTTTGGTCAGTGTCCTTGGTAGTGAGTCTAAGCTGTTCTACAGTAAAGAAAGGAGAGAGAAAGGTGGAAAAGGGAAATCTTTGACTTCATACTTGAATTATGTTACATCATGGTATCAGAGAAAAAATATGTGTGGTATTTTTAATGATACTGGTTATAATCATGATGTACTGTTAACTAACACAATGGTAAATAATTATTCTACTTTTGATGTGAGTGTTGTGTTCTCACAGCAAAAAAAAAACAGGAAGTATGTAAATACTTGTCTCAGGACACCCTTCTTCTCTCATTACCTTTTGCCCCTGTTCTTTTTTTTTTTAAAGTTAAAAATATACCACTTTATATCATATTCAAAGTCAGTTTCCTATCACAGTGCATTTTCAAAGAGGAATGAAATAAATTCTTCATTGAATAATAGCATACTATGGCATTTCTGAAATGGAAATTAAAACTGTTGAATAAATATTTCATGTTTCTAATTTATGTAAAAGCACCATAGGAGCTTGCAGTGGTCCTACTGCTAAATATATTTCGTTATACTTTATTTTTTTCCAATGAAGTGAAATGTTGACTTGGTAGTTGTGCTGCAGACTTCTTTTTTTTTTTTTTTTTTAGTAAATTTTGTTAAATTATAAAAGTTTCCATTTCCGCCCCCCCTCCCAACACCCTCCCACTCCTTTTGCCCCTGTTCTTTATAGTGTTCTCTAAGGTTCTCCCTTAAGCACAAACAAGATTTTGTACTAGAATTAAAAAACTTATTTTTCAGGCGATGGGAACTTAGAAATTTTCAGTTTTGTCTACTATATTGAAAATATTATTTGCCATCTATGTTTAGAAATGCAGCACATTTGGGAAGAAATTCTTCAGGAGGACGGGCTTAGTTTTCATGTTGCATTTTTACAGATGATAGATCTATAGGACTTCATGTCATATCTCTTAAAATTTCCCCATCTCCATCTTAAAATAATAGAGCTTTCAGCTAATCCTCATTAACAGACACCAGAAATCCAACAGGGTGTCAGCTGCACTTGCCTATCAGGATATGCAAACAGAGGTTTAAGAAAAGGTACTGGTTGAGGTATAATATTTACCTAGGATGTTTGGTAATAAACTGTAAGAGTCCCGTCTCCTTTTGAAGATTCCATTCCTCAGTCATTTATTTCATTTAACCATCATTTGAACTGAACTGTTATCATTTAAGATGGCACCAGCCTGAGTCCCAGCACACAGCCCAGGTCAGAATTGTGTTCCAGGAGTGAGTTGTCACACTACTTCTTCCACTCTCTTGCTTAACTGACTCTCATGTCTTCTTTTCTACAACAGGTTCCAGACTCTGTTTAACCAAGAAATTCCTAGGCTGCTCTGCACTGGCCTGACTTCCTATAGAAGAAGCAAGATTTGCCAGACGGGCTGGACTTCAGTTGACCATACTTACCACTTGGCCACACTCTTCTCCTGTGTGGGAAATCCTCGCTGTTGAGTTGTTTTGCCCATGGAGGACGGCCGCAGGAGGGCGACATAGGCAGATCAGACTGAACACATCAGGAAGATACTTTTACCATCTGCCTTCAGGTCATTTCCTGGGACAGAAGCTCTAGACTTTGACAGAATCTGCTTCAGCCATTTTGATTTTGCTTCCTGGAATTTTTGTTACTATTATTTGCCGTTGCCTTTGCTTTTAGTCCCCCCCCCCATCACTTTGTATTTTATTTCCGTCCTTCAGCAATGGGCCTGCAGACTACAAAGTGGCCCAGCCATGGGGCTTTTTTTCTAAAACTTTGGCTTATCCTTTCCCTGGGGCTCTCCTCACAAGTGTCCAAACTCCTGGCCTGCCCTAGCGTATGCCGTTGTGACAGGAACTTTGTCTACTGTAATGAACGAAGCTTGACCTCAGTGCCTCTTGGGATCCCGGAGGGCGTAACCGTACTCTACCTCCACAATAACCAAATTAATAATGCTGGATTTCCTGCGGAGCTGCACAATGTGCAGTCAGTGCACACGGTCTACCTGTATGGCAACCAGCTGGATGAATTCCCCATGAACCTTCCCAAGAACGTCAGAGTCCTCCACCTGCAGGAAAACAACATCCAGACCATCTCGCGGGCGGCTCTCGCTCAGCTCCTGAAGCTGGAGGAGCTTCACCTAGATGACAACTCCATATCTACAGTGGGGGTGGAGGACGGAGCTTTCCGAGAGGCGATTAGCCTCAAGCTGTTGTTCTTGTCGAAGAACCACCTGAGCAGCGTGCCTGTTGGGCTTCCTGTGGACTTGCAAGAGCTGCGAGTGGATGAAAACCGAATCGCAGTGATATCAGACATGGCCTTTCAGAACCTCACAAGCTTGGAGCGTCTGATTGTGGATGGGAACCTCCTGACCAACAAGGGCATTGCTGAGGGCACCTTCAGCCATCTCACCAAGCTCAAGGAGTTTTCCATAGTCCGTAACTCGCTCTCCCACCCACCTCCTGATCTCCCAGGTACGCACCTGCTCAGGCTCTACCTGCAGGATAACCAGATCAACCACATCCCATTGACAGCCTTCGCAAACCTCCGTAAGCTGGAACGGCTAGATATATCCAACAATCAGCTACGAATGTTAACTCAAGGGGTCTTCGATCATCTATCCAACCTGAAACAACTCACTGCTCGGAATAACCCTTGGTTTTGTGACTGCAGTATTAAATGGGTCACCGAATGGCTCAAATATATCCCGTCTTCTCTTAACGTGCGTGGTTTCATGTGCCAAGGTCCTGAGCAAGTACGCGGAATGGCTGTCAGGGAGCTGAATATGAATCTTCTATCTTGTCCCACCACCACCCCTGGACTGCCTGTCTTCACCCCAGCTCCAACTACGGTCTCTCCAACAACTCAGTCTCCTACTCCCTCTGTTCCAAGCCCCAGCAAAGGCTCTGTGCCTCTAGCTCCTACCCCATCGAAACTCCCCACCATCCCTGACTGGGATGGCAGAGAAAGAGTGACCCCACCTGTTTCTGAAAGGATCCAACTTTCCATCCACTTTGTGAACGATACGTCGATTCAAGTCAGCTGGCTGTCTCTCTTTACTGTGATGGCGTACAAACTGACCTGGGTGAAAATGGGTCACAGTCTCGTAGGGGGAATTGTTCAGGAACGAATTGTCAGTGGTGAGAAGCAACACCTGAATCTGGTTAATTTAGAGCCCAGGTCCACCTATCGGATTTGTTTAGTGCCATTGGATGCGTTCAACTACCGCACTGTGGAGGATACCATCTGTTCCGAGGCCACTACCCATGCCTCTTATTTGAACAATGGCAGTAACACTGCTTCTAGCCACGAGCAGACAACTTCCCACAGCATGGGCTCCCCTTTTCTGCTGGCGGGCTTAATTGGGGGCGCAGTGATTTTTGTGCTCGTGGTTTTGCTCGGAGTATTTTGCTGGCACATGCACAAAAAGGGACGCTACACCTCCCAGAAGTGGAAATACAACAGGGGCCGACGGAAAGATGACTATTGTGAGGCAGGCACCAAAAAAGACAACTCCATCCTGGAGATGACGGAAACCAGTTTTCAGATTGTCTCCTTAAATAACGATCAGCTCCTTAAAGGAGATTTCAGACTGCAGCCCATCTATACCCCAAATGGGGGCATTAATTACACAGACTGCCACATCCCCAACAACATGCGATACTGCAACAGCAGTGTCCCGGATCTGGAGCATTGCCATACGTAACAGCCAGAGGTCCAACGTCAGAAAAAGTGGACAACCAAACTCTCAAGAACACACATGAGTGTGCACATAAAGACACGCAAATTACATTTGATAAATGTTACCCAGATGCGTTTGTGCATTTGAATACTCTGTAATTTATACGGTGTACTATATAATGGGATTTAAAAAAAAAGTGCTATCTTTTCTATTTCAAGTTAATTACAAACAGTTTTGTAACTCTTTGCTTTTTAAAATTAAAAAAAAATTGTTGCTGAAGTACTGTACTGGGTTGTACAATGAGGACCCAATGCCAAGGCAGAAGAATGAGTGATTCATATTTAAGATGCATATTAACCACTTTGCTGTTGAAGCTGTCAGAATAAATTCCTTCTCTATAGCTGATAGTCATAGGAAAGGATAGATTCAGATGGGCTCATCAGGGTAAGAGGGATAGTTTGAGTAAAGAAAGAATGACCTAGTTATTCCTGTTTCCTATACCTCTTGGCCTGGAAGAAACACTGTTTGAAAACTCCATAATATAGTAATAGAGGTAGTTATTCCAATTTGACCCAGTACAAGAAATAGAACATCATGAGGAATCCAGTTCCCATGAGATAAGTTAGGCCTACTTGACCAAATCAAAGAAACTGAGAGGTTTGAAATGTCCTTAAAACCCCAGGGTTGGCTTTCTGACTGTGAACTTCAAAATCACTCTTCATGCTTCCCTGGCCTTATGTGATAATAGAGATGGAAACCTGAGTCTGATTCTAGTCATCTTCAGGGACCAATATGATCAGTTCTAGCAAGAAAATTCCCCCTCAAAACTGTCACTATTCAAATAACATGTCAGGTGGAAGTATATCCAATAGAGTTATATTCTAGAATAATTTTTTAGAAGAGGCTAATAAAAATAACGGGAAGAATTATATTGAATGGAATTATTTTTGATAATGAAAATTATTTGGGTAGATTCACTGAGGCTATATCAACATGGTGTTTAGACCAACAAAGAACAGTGTTTGGACTATATTAACAGTAATGTGTTTATTTAAAAAGTACTAATACCACTTAGGAAAAACAATCAGTGATTCTCTTACACTGTATCACCTGACTTTGTTAGGATCATGTTGAAACAGCTTGAGTTAATACCTATATCCCCTCTCAAATTCTTGTCTTCCAATCATCTTGCGTATATTTTTTGTAATTAAGTTGTATATTCCCCCTTTGTTTCCCCTCCACCACCTCTGCTTAGTAATTCAAAGAAATTGTGGATGTGAAACTTGGTTGCACAAATGATCCCTGTGTATTTCCTATATATTAAAATTCATATGAATATTCATTGCCAATGATTCTGTGGAGACACCAAACTGGCCAAAACAATGCGTATTGTTAAAAAGCAATACTGTGTTTCCATTGGGAATTATCTTTGATCCTTTTCCACATTCGAAACTCCCACTTGTTTCTTTTCGGTTGTGGATGTCCCTCTAATTTGTTCATCTGAGGGTGATAATTAACTTTATACTAAAAGCCCACCAGTGAAAATGAGTAAGTCAGAGAATGCAATATTTCTCTCGTCATGGCAGAAGGTATAGGGAAGAGAGGGATGCCCACTATTGATGCTAGATATTTTTGAAGCAAGTCCATTTTCAGAAAACATGCATAATTTACCCTTATTCTTGTCATCCCTTAGGTGTAGAAGGGCTATAGACCACATCCATTGCTTAAAGAAATTTACCCTTGGGGAATTCTTTTCAAAGCCACTTTTAGGCATTTCATTCTGTATTCCTTTACAACCATCCATCACTTTTGGGACTCATGAAGTAAATGTACACTCTTCTTGCTTTCTCTTTCTCTCTAAGCAAAATAAAACTGTGATGTGTCTTCTTGTAAAATTTTAGGTATAAAATGCTATGCAAGCTTTTCTTTATAGCAAGAGCTTTATTTTCTTTAATAATATACCCTGACTTATATGTTTTAATCTCCCTCATCCCTCAGAATAAGCAGAAAATACAACTGCAGCGATAATGGTATAGACACAAGCATTAAACTGTGCAGTCAGTAGAGCTGAACATAGTTATGAATTAATTTAATTAATTCTAAAGTGACTCGGGTTTCCTCTTTCGTCTAGTAGCTAGAGGGTTTGGGCTGTTGGTTTCTGTAAAAGTAGGTTCACACAGTGAAGGAACAAGACCATCTGGAATGGTGATCAGTGGAGCGTTACATCATCTAAAATCAGGACAGTGATATGGGTCCCCGAGTATTAGCTGAGTGGTTGCCTTTCACTGTCCTCTTGCATCTCACTGTAGATAAAACTGTGTGCTGAACAATACAATGGTACTTTGATTTTTGAAGATTTTTATTTTGTTATAAACAAGATAATCAATATTGTCGGTTCGTATTGTATGTTTAACTTCCGGTGGGATTCAGGACTATGGAAATGTCTTTTCTTTGTTCCAGGAGAAAGATGGCAAGGTCCCCGCAATGTTATATGGCATCCACAACACTATCGAGAGTTGAAGTGGTACTGAAGAGACCCAGTCATGTACAATGGTTAAGTTGCTTGCAAAGCTGCTCTGGGAGAGGTGTTTCAAAACAAAAAATCTTCATTTTGATTTTATGAGCAGCATAGCAAAGACATCTGCCCTGAAAATCAGACTACCATCTGTAGTAGTGTGCTTTAGGGACTCCTACATCAGAGTCAAGATCACATTATGTAATCTCTACTAGCTTATGACACTTTTTCAAAAGCAGATGAGCTCCAGTCCTTACTGGATGGTATTTTGACTCGCATCTTTAATCCGGAGACTGTCCTGCAGTTATATCTCTTCTGTGTTTGGTCCTCTCTTAGCCTCATCATTATTTCTTTTGAGGTGATTAGTTAAGAGGCAAAGTTCAGTTATCTCAAATAGTTTCACCCCCTGTCAGTACAATAACTGTAACTCTTAGAGGACATTGCAAAAGAGAAAAGTAAATCAAGGTCACACAGATGTCATCAGTGATTAAACAGAAGGTAATCACCAGTACCTCCTTGCTTATAGAGATGCATATGACCCTGGAGCGACCCTAGGTTTCACTTAAACACAGCCACATGTCTTGGCTAGGCAGTACAACACTTGTGACCATCACAGACAGACATGAGAAGGGTGTTAGCTATTTATTTATAATATAAGTGGAATAATCCTCCCTTGTGAGAAATAATGCTATTTCTAATTTTCCAGATGTTTGTTGATACAATATTAGACATTTTCTCTCAAGGGTAAAATAGAAAAAAGAAAAACTATAATATGATCTTTTTGGGGAAAAAAGTGTATTAATGGTGTAACTGATATTACACCTCAGTTTTTTACATAGTGGAGGTCATAATGGTCTTAGTCATGCCACACAGCCAGAACTTCCTTCTTCTCTGGAGAAAGCATAACTCTTCATGTGAGGAGAGCATCCATTTCAAATACAAGGCACCATTGTTTTCTTCAGAGGCAGGTGCTACACTGGATCAGCAAATTCCAGCTGCAGCATCCCCTGCAGCTTTTGACAGTGAGGTGATTAATTTTCATCAATGTCTTTTTTATAGGGTTTACCTCTGGCCTGTCAAAAGGGGATATTAGATGTTGCTTTAGAACTTGAGAATAACACATAAACTCAAAACTTGCTTCTCCAACGAAATGGGAAAGCAAAAAGGAAGAGTGAACAACAGGGAAACAATACACACGAAAAACAAAAACAAGTCTCAATTCTTAATCTTGTCAAATTTAGCTTCTTCTTTTTTAGTTAAAATAAATAATGGTAGGAAGCTGTATCTACACCCTTCTCCAGTTTCTTCAGCAGGATTGAAGCAATTGTTGGCAACTGCAATGCTTTTCACTGATTGTGGGGAATACATTTTGTACACAGTATGATGCTGTTTTAGCAAACCAGGTTGTTTTGTTACAGTATTTCATTTTATAGCTGCACATCCACCAGAAGAGCACAAACCAAGGCCATCGCAACAGGCATTTTAAAATTAACATAAAACATGCTATTCCATGCATACATAATACATGGGCTGTTTGTAAAGGTGTCTGTGGGATGTGAGATTTGTAGCCAGCTCCGACAAAATGAGGCATCACCATTGTATGCCCTCATAGGATAATATTTACTGAATGTTAAGTTTGATGATCTGTTACTATTTGAAGCATATGTTGATTTGATTCTGGTTTGTGTTTAGTGTGTTTGTCTGACAAGGGACTTCAAGGGGCTGGAAGATTCCGTGTCATGCATCCTCTGAGACCTACCATGTTGCACACTTTGTTAACTACAAACTTCACTCTACACTATACAGTACCTTGTTGATATATTCAGTAAAGGCTTATTTTAAAAGAAAACCCATTGTGTTTATCTGAGTAAATTCACCGGAATGTAACCAGTACTTCTGCTGTAATGTAAATGAAAAACATGAGAAATTCTTCATATACAACAAAGACGGCAGAAATGAAGTAGATTGTACAGTGTTCATACCCTGCTACTGTAAAAGCAACATCTATTTTTAAAGACAGTGTTCTCTCTGTGTAAAAGGATAATGTGGTAGTTCCTCCCTTTTTCTCCACTGAAATGTTTTCAGAGGATAGTTTTATTTATGCACCACAGCAGAAAGCACAGCCCTCTCTGTTTGAGAAATACAGAGACGTATAATATGTACACAATTACAGAAGTCTTTCATTTTCACAATATACACTATTGATTTTGATTGTTAACTTTGAGAATTCCTGTCCCCCCCCCTTTTTTTTAAGTATTGCTCACTGTTCATCTGTACTTTCCGATGGATACTCCAGGTAGTACATCTACCCATATAACTCAGATTTGATTTTAGATTAGTCTCAAATGATTTTACAGAACCCCTTTCTCTAACATTTGACCATTTCACCACTGATGAATTTGGCATGGGATTAATGAATCGGAAATAAAATGATGACTTTTCAGTTAACTAGCATTACTAATTGTAGGATTTCAACTGGGTAATGAACGATGAAAACTGGAGTTAACAGGTGATTCATATCACATTGAGAAGCCTTTATATACAATATTCACTGCTACTTGTTTATTTTTGACAAGTTATAGAGGTTACTGTGACTATGCTCTCAGCCAACAAGAACCATTCATTTAGTAGAATTTATTAAGGTCTTCATTGTCTGGGCTCTAGAGTGACATCAGAGATTTTAGAAGAGGGCAATGATATCTAAGAAAAACCACCTATATTTTCTAGTCTACTGGAAATCCGTGTACCCAAAATATTTACTCCTAATCTCCTTTCTACGCAGCTATGTTACATTCTCCTCTGTTACTTTCAGACAATAATGAACTTGCTATTTAGGATCTCAAAGATCACTTCCCAATATGTTTTTAAAAAGACATTCTGATGTACTCTATTTTATTTCCCTATAGTAACAGTATACCCACAGTAATAAAATAGGTACATCTACCAGTGAGGAAGTGAGATGATGCTTTTTCATTAAGTATCATAAACTGTCACAAATTGATATCATATTGACAAGTAGGGGCTTGGTTGGAGTTAGGGTTTCAAATTCACAGCAAGAAATTGAAATGTATATTTGCAAATTATACATGCAACCTATGAAAGTTCTATTAAGAAGCAGAAAATGAATCAATCAAATGTAATAACTGTACCTGAGAAGTGAAAAGAACACATGGGGATAAATGTGCTCTTGTTCCCTCGCTTCTCCCTCCCTTTCTTCATATCTACTTCTTCAGATTTTATAACTGAACTTCAAGAGAATCTCAGTGTTTTGTCCATAACCCCGAGTGTTGTAGATGGAGTCAGAATTTAGCATCTCACAGGACTACATAGAGTATTCAGTAAATTAAATAACCTGAAGGCTGGCTGATGTGCAGGACAAAATATTATTCAGTCTTAATGACAGAGTTATTGCAGGCTTTCAGTGTACACCAATACTAATTCCTGTGTACAGATGTGCATATTGATACTTTCCAGGGAAAGATGGTTCTTATTACTTCAGTGTTTTATAATTCTCTATATTGGGGTAATGTTCCCTTAATGATATATAACACAGCCTTGGATTCTGTTGAACTCCTTGGATTGGCAGTGTCAGTCATTATTGTTTCATTTTTATTACCATCCTTTGAATATTTGCTGAAAGTTTGGATGCTGAATAGAACAATATTCTAGGGGAATTTAGATGATGCATCAAACTCTCTCCCAGAAACAGAGAGTACTTGACACTTGGCCCAGATTCCTCATGTTTCTACATCCTTCAAGGATTCTCATATTTATGTTTAATTTAACATTCATGGATGCTGCTTATTCCAGCATTTGCGGGAGCTCTT